AACACTATAAGAACAAGATATTTGGTTGAAGAATTAGAGGAATGAAGGTTGATAGTGTAATGAAACACTTGTATCGTATTCATATTATTATAGTGAAAACCCTCTTATCTGCGGATGTAAACAAGTTATGCCGAACCACATCAAATATAATGTATCTTTATATATTGTTATTTGTTCTTTAATTTTATATTTTTTTTTACTTCTCCGATTTTCAACATGGTATTAGAACAGATTCTAATTTTCAACAGATTTATGCTATCAGGTTAATGGTAATGTGTATAGAGAGAATATCATCGTAAATTTCTTGTTATTTTATATCGTGAAATCAAAACTGACTGTGGGTGTGATTTTTGAAGAGATTTTAGAGACAATAGTGAAACCACAACAATTGCTTATGGCGTAGGATTCTTCATTATATAGAAAACTGTTACAAGTATTAAAAGCTAACAATAGCAGTACAAGCTATACAAGCAAAGATATCTACATATTCGATATTTACAACTAATCAACTCCTATATATTTGTACAACGTCTGTATTGCCGTATATTGCTCCTTAATGCTTGGATTGATTCTCTGTTTGATTGCTGCCTTGATTGTCTCCAGATTTATTGCTGCCTTGATTGTCTCCAGAGAATAATGCTTTGTTATCGCCAACACCCCCCCTCAAGTCAAGCGTGGTTGGCAACACGCGAAGCTTGGATCGGAATAGCAGAAACAGAGGTTTTGTTGGACTTTTGGTGAATATGTCTGCTATTTGCAAGGTTGATGGAACATGTTTAATCTTCAATATACCACTGCAGACTAATTTCCTAACAAAGTGAATATCAATATCAATATGCCTGGACCTTCGTTGAGCTACTGGATTTCGAGTCATGAAAATGGCACTTGTGTTGTCGCAAAATAACGTTGGCGGTTCTGTTGGTTGAATTTTTAAATCATGAAGAATGTTTAACAACCATTTAACTTCAGCTGTAGCAAGTGCCAATGCTCTATATTCGGATTCTGCCGAAGACCAAGATACTGTGGACTGCTTTTTGGAAGTCCATGAGATTAAATTGTCACCCAGAAAAATTGCATATCCTGATGTTGATCGACTTGTGTCTGGGCAACCAGCCCAATCGACATCTGAAAAAGCTGAGATTTTGAGATTGCTTGATGGGCTGATGTTAAGTCCGAAATGGAGAGTTCCTTTAACATATCTGAGAATTCTTTTTACGGCATGAAAATGTTGCTCTCTTGGTGCATGCATGAATTGACTTACTGAATTTACTGCTTGTGTAATATCTGGCCTGGTAATGGTGAGATATTGCAGTGCACCAACAAGGGATCGATAAGTTGTTGGTGAATGAAAGAGAGGACCATCAGTAGTCAAATGTTTGAGACAATCATTGGTGTTGCAATTGGCTTTGAATCATGGAGATAAGCTCGGATAAGGATATCTCTTGCATACTTCACTTGACTGAGGAACATTCCCTTTTGAGAATGAGTAACTTCTAGGCCCAAAAAATAATTGAGATTGCCAAGATCCTTCATAGAAAACTCTTGCCGTAGCTTGTTAATGAAAATGTCAAGGAGAGACACATTGCTGCCTGTGATGATAATATCATCCACGTATAAGAGTAAATAAATGATGCCATTGTCCGATGAATGAACAAATAAACTAGAATCAGCTTTGCTGCAAGTGAAACCAATTTTGATTAAAAAATTGCTAAAGCGATGGAACCATGCTCTCGGTGCTTGTTTCAAACCATAGATTGCCTTTTTGAGGTGACAAACATGATTTGAATGAGAAGTATCAATATATCCCGATGGTTGTTCCATATAAATCACTTCTTGTAGGAGACTATGCAAGAAGGCATTTTTAATGTCAAGTTGACGTATATTCCAGCCACGAGAGACTACAATAGAGAGTACAATGCGAACTGTAGAGGCACTAACAACTGGACTAAATGTGTCATTAAAATTAACTCCATAGAGTTGAGTATAGCCTTTGGCAATAAGGCATGCTTTGAGCCTATCAATAGATCCATCCGAATGATATTTGATCCGAAAAACCCATTTGGATTCAACCACATTAGTAGCATGTGGTCTAGGAACTAGTTCCCACGTTTGATTGTGAGTGAGAGCTTGAATTTCATCCTCCATTGCAGCTAGCTATTCGGGTGATTTGGCGGCACTCTTGAATCCTTTTGGTTCCTTCATTACTAATAGTGATGATAATAAAGAAGAGGAAGGAGCTTGACAAACATAATTGTAATGTTTGAACTTTGAGATTCCAGCTTTTCCACGTGTTAACATGGGATGAGAATTCTGATTTGTTGTAGAATTTTGAGTTGGTGCAATTGACATATCTGAACCTGCAAGTGGCTCGATTGTTGAAGTAGGCACAAGAGGCAGTTCTGGAACTTGTTCAACTATTGGAGTAAGCACATGAGGCAGTGATATTGGTGAACTCCAAGATGTGTTCAACTCCAAGGCACATGATTTACATGGCTTGGATGGAGAGACTGATGGTAATGGCTGAGAACCTGCAGAAGAATTAGTGCTAGACAAAGGATAATTTGATGGACTGGGATCTTGAAAAGAAATATAAGCTAAGAGTGCATGAGAAGGTTGCATATTAGAAGAAGATGATGGAAAAACTATCTCATCAAACCGAGCATGTCGAGTGACAAATACTCGATGTGATTTAGGATTTAGGCATCGAAATCCTTTGTAGGATGAGTTGTAACCAAGAAAAATACATGGGAGACTTCTGGGTTCAAACTTATGTTTAGTATAATCTCGCAAGTATAGGAAACATAAGCATCCAAAAATTCGAAATATTGCATAGGTGGGAGACTTACCATACAGAATTTCAAATGGAGAGACCCCATTCAAGACAGGTGTGGGCAAGCGATTAATTGTAAAAACTACTATACTGAAGGCTTCAACCCAAAGATGAAGAGGAATATTGGCATGAAAAAGCATTGTTAGGCCTGTTTCGGTGTTGTGTCTGTGTTTCCTTTCAGCTCTATCATTTTGAGAAGATGTATAAGGGCAAGAGAGCTGATGGTGAATACCACATTTGGCTAAGTGAGACTGAAAAATGGTACTTGTGAATTCACCTCCCCCATCACTTTGGAATTTTTTTATCTTTGCCGAGAACTGATTTTCAACAAGTGTTTGAAATTTGATGAAGGTTTGATAAAAATCAGCTTTGTGCTTTGATGGATAGAACCAAGTGAAGCGAGAGTTATCGTCTATAAAGATAACATAATATCGATATCCAGAGATAGAATTTATTGGTGTTGGACCCCATAAGTCGCAATGTATGAGTCCTAAAATTCTTTTGGATCGACTATCACTTGTTGGAAAAGGGAGTTTATGGCTTTTAGCCTTTTGACAACTAACACACAAAGATGGATTCGGCAATATAGAGGTGAGAGATAGAAGACCTTTCTTATTAAGCATGGAAATTATTTGAGATGATACATGTCCTAAATGGGCTTGCCAAGTGTCAAAGGAATTACATAAATTGTTCTTGGTAATAACAGTAGAAAAAACATGGTTTCCACACTTCAGTACATAGAGTCCATCGACACGATTACCGCTTGCCACCACCTTTCGAGTTTGAAGATTCTGTATGATAAAATCATTGTCAGTAAAGGAAATAGACAAAGGAAAATCATTGGTTAATTTACTGACGGAAAGCAGATTTTTGGTTAAGTTTGGCACCACAAGAACATCATTTACTTGAAGAGTTGGAGTGGGAGAGCAGGAACCCATGTGTGTGATGGGTAGGGAGGATCCATTACCAACAATAACTCTATCCTTACCAGTGTAAGGTTCCACCTTATCAAGTTGAGACACATATGAAGTCATGTGTGCGGATGCTTCTGTATCAGTGTACCAATCTACTGTGTCATTGTCGATGGTGCAATTTGCAAGTGCTTCAACAAGGTTTGCATTAGATTTTGTGTATCTGATCTTACAGTTCATGGCATAATGGCCTTATTCACTGCAGATTTGACATCGAGGAGGTCTCTTATACTGTTGCTTGCCACGATTTCCTCCCTTTGATTGGCCTCCTTTATATTTGTTTTGATTATTATTAGGCCTTGCATTTCGGTTTGAAGATGCAGAGGAGGAATGAGCCACATAGACAGAGACGCCACATGCATTGTTATTAATAGACTTGGAAAAAAAGATCAAAGCTTTCTACTTTAGGAATAATATCTTTGAAACTTGGGATAGGAGTTAAAGATAATTGAGTGGTAGAGAAACTCGAGAACTCGTGGCCTAGACCACGTAAATACCAGTGCACTTTGTCAATGTCGTCAACTAGACGTCTCATGGCCGATAATTGATCACAATGGGCCTTGAATACTCGAGAGTATTCAGAAACACTGCGAGAGCCATACTTCATGAGATGAAGTTCATCTTTTATTTGAAGTTCCCGAACCTTAGATTTGTGACTGAAGGCAGTTTCAAGAGGGTTCTAGACTTCTCTTGATGTTGTAAGTCCAATAACGATAGAGAGTGCTTCCTCCATGAGAGAGGAAAGAAGAAGACTCATGACTAGTTGGTCATTTTGCTTCCAAAAGTTGTGGGCTGTGAGATCAGAGGTAGCAGAAGGCATAGATGTGGAGCCATCAATATATCCATAGTAGTTTTGACATTGCAGCAAGGGGACTACTTGGCTGCGCCAAAGAAGAAAATTGTTTGATGATAGCTTGATTGTTACCATGTGAACCATGGTATTAAAGGAGAGTGTAGAAGAATTTTCTGAGGCCATAGAATTGAGTGGAGGTTAATCCTATCGTGCTCGTGATACCATGAAGAGATTTTAGAGACAACAGTGAAACCACAGCAATTGCTTATGGCATAGGATTCTTCATTATATAGAAAACTGTTACAAGTATTAAAAGCTAGCAATAGCAGTACAAGCTATACAAGGAAAGATATCTACATATTCTATATTTACAACTAATCAACTCCTATATATTTGTACAACGTCTGTATTGCCGTATATTGCTCCTTAATGCTTGGATTGATTCTTTGTTTGATTGCTGCCTTGATTGTCTCCAGAGAATAATGCTCTGTTATCCCCAACAATTTTTTCATGGAAAATTGGTGGCTTATTCATGTATGATTGATTTTGCTATTGAATATTAAGCACACAAGAAGGGGGGGTGTGGTGGGGGGGTTGTTTGGGTTGGGGGGGAGTGGTGTGGATATTGGGGGATTGTTCTCTACAGTTTTTTATGCATGTATTGCATGTCTTTGATCAGTTCGTTGGCAACAAGAACAAGCAAGGAATGCTTAACAGTTAAAGTTAACACCAATTATTTCATGTATTTATTGCAGTAACTAAGCTTGCATAAACCATTACAAGAGAATCTGAATACAATTTCGTATATGATCACAGGGAATGATCAAACAATGCAACCATTATTGTAACACAGCATCATAATACAAGATTATGAAGATGGCAACACCGTAAAGCTGCAAAAGCCGTAACTTTATTTCTCATCCTAGTCTCTTCCATCTCAGTTAATGCTGGGAAAGTAACCAAAAAGGAAAACAAAGTTAAGATGGATTCATTATCAAGTTTCTGGAGTAAACAATATGCAAATAGTAAAACTCACTTGGCACAGTTGGTGTTCTTAGAGGTGGGAATGTTCAATGGAGCTCCAAATTTTCCAGGGAGAGATGAAGCAGCATCCTGGTTGATATTTGGATATTTAGCAGCAGCTGACTTCACACATTCACAAGCTGCTTGTCTATCCGCAGTGGTTGGAGTGATTGCCTTGATGTTTCTCACGCCATCACAGCATGCAGTTGAAGGATTTCCCGCAGCAGCCTCCAAGTAAGGCATGCAAGGGGCCAAAGATGCCGCAACTTGGTCGTATTAAACGGCTTCTCCAGGCTTCACCATGAAGTAGACCATGGCTACTACCAACACTAACATCACAATACTCTTCGTCTTTGAAGTTTGGAAAGCTAATTAATTAAGGACTCTTTGAGCTTATACTTGAATGAGCTTCTGCCTTTGGGATGAACTGTACTGAAGGTTCATAGAGGGTATAAATAGCATATCGTCAATGAAAAGAGTTTGTGTATGTGAGTAATGAGATAACAAATACAGTTAAAGCGTTTTGGCTTCTTCTCACCTTGAAATGTTTACTTGGGCTTGGCTATCCTAAAAGACAATGAAGAGGATAAGCTTTTGGATGATATTTACTCCTTTAGTTTCCAATGATCTTCATGAGCAATATACTGTTCTTTCCATGGAAGAAAATTGTATTTCTTCAGAGCAACCGTTGTCTCTTTCTGGGCAGTTACACACTTTCTCGGCAACAATAAGTATTAGGAATCGTGCTTTTGTTAGTTCTCACTGAACTTGATGAGCAATCCATATTGCTCATTACTGTTATTTCCATGGAAGAAAAGTGTCTTCCTTCAGGCCAAAACCATCGTCTACTGCTGGGTAGTTACACACTTTCTCAGCAACAATAAGATTTAGGACTCGATAATATTTGCTACACGAGACCTAAAGGATCACCGAGCCTGAACCCTCTGCTAGACAAAAGAACTAATTTGTCACCGGAAAATACAAGTCACCGCATCCAAGTGAGAGGAAATACGCATTTTATGATAAAATTTGAGTGGAGAGTAACTATTGGTGTACCATATTCAGAATTGAAAGAGTTAAACTTGGTAACAATAGGTGATCCATATTCAGAATCAAAAGAGTTAAACTTGAACAGGGCACCATATACGGTTTTTGAGATTGTTCATCACAAATGCATTAATTAAAAGGTTGTCTAAGATTATGAAAAAAATTATCACTACCCTGATAGCAAAAACAATGATCTTAAGTATCACTAGACCGTCTGAAAAGGCAAATAGCATCAATAATTCTTTAACATGTTTAGGAAAACCAGAATACAAATGCCATTAAATCTAAAGTCCAGGCATAGTTATCTACAACCACCCAAAAGGTCTCTACTCAGTGGATAGAAAACAACTCTTGTGGGCAGATTCTCAAGGCTGATAAGGGTTTCCACCAGGCACGTTTCTATTTTCGTTTGGTGTGTAGCTATTCTGGTACTGTGTGTTTGGCGCATTTTGGTAGGCAGGAGCCGCAGGACCAGCATTCTGATGTACACCCCCAGGCGTGTTACTGGACCATCCTGCATTAGGTGGCATTCCTCCCATGTTGCCAGCATTGTTGGGTTGGGGTGGCCTTCCTCCCATGTTGCTAGCATTGTTGGGTTGGGGTGGCATTCCTCCCATGTTGCCAGCATTGTTGGGTTGGGGTGGCGTTCCCCCGTAATTGTTGGCAGGTGGCATCCCCCCATAATTGTTGGCTGGTTGCCCTCCTCCATAATCTTTGGCTGGTGGAACTCCACTGTAGTTGTTAGCAGGTGGCACCCCATAGTTGTTCGGTGGCGGCATTCCTCCATAGTTGTTTGATGGGCCTCCCATGTTGTTCGGTGGCGGCATTCCTCCATAGTTGTTTGATGGGCCTCCCATGTTGTTAGGTGGCATTCTCCCCATATTGTTGGGAGGCATGTTGTTGGGAGGAGGCATGGTACTGTTGGGAGCAGAGTTTGGCATGCCCTGATTCTGGAAATCCCGGTTCTGCACGTTCTCCCTCCTTCTCTCAAAGTTTCTTGATCTATCAAAGTTACGAGGTCTATCATTGCGCCGATTTCGCTCATTTGCTCGCGCATTGTTCCTTATCCATTCTTCATGATACTTTGGATCATAAGGAACTGCTTCCCCATTGATGAAAGGTTCCCCTGCACAATCATGAACAATACTATGAATTATTTGAATAATGTATTTTAAAGGCAAATTCCCTAAAGCTAAGGTAAGCAACATTAATATAAGGAAAAAATATCATAATAAAAGCAGCAAAACAATTTGATTGTCACCTCATAAAAATTATGACTTACCTCCATAATCCTTATTCTTGACATCCAAGTATGAATCTGGCAGAACCCATCGAACTCTTGGCAGTTCTGTTAATAAACAGAGAAACATCAGTGACATCTCTTTAAAAAATAGCAGACAGTAGCAATTAAAAAAAAAAAAATTGTACCTTTGAGCTTGTATGAGAGCTCTTCTGAGACCAAAGCCCCAAATGCATAGTAGCACCTAGTTGAAACAGAATATATCTTCATCCTTGCTTCTTGTTCGCTATAAGAGAAAGAACAACCAACAAAGATTAACCAACAATATAAAATGATGCAAGCTTGCAAAACTGATATTTGTATTAAATAAGTGGAAAATTCACAAAGATCAAATTTCTAACTTTATCACAAAGATCAAATTCAGATTCATATTCAGAAGGATGTCACTAATTAATTTACAAGATATGAAGAAGACATTAGTCCCTTCAGAAAATTATCTAAAAGACGTATATAAAATTTCAGAAATAACCCTTGAAGATCATAAGTTTTAAAACTTATTTATGACAATCTTAAAACTATCACCATCATCAATAATAATCAGAATTCGTGTTCAGAGCCAAATATTAGTTTGTTCAAACACAAAATTACTTTATGAATGGCATCTAAAACAAAAATTTAGTCAAAACTAAATTAACTCTTCAACTTTATGGTTTAATATAAACAAATAAATCCACGCGCCCTCAATTGATGATATACAGCAAATAACAACCACATCAACAATAATAAACAAATAACACAGAGCAAATAAAATCACTTCCAATCCATGGTAAAAAATAACAAACAGCAACGATTTTTATTGAAAATTTGAAACAAACCTGCCAATGACCATGGCTAGGGTTTTGATATAGCTATCAATAATCTCATCCCTAGTGGCGTTTCCTTCAGGCGGCTCCATAACCACAAGCCAGTGCTCAAAGTCACACCCATCAAGCAGAATCGTTTCTTTCGGGGGCCGGTTCGACCAGTTTGGGTTAGGATCGTTGAGGGAGGACGACGTGGCGCGTGTGGACAAGCCGCGAGTAGGAGCAGCGACAAAGCGACCGATATTGACGGCAGCAAGAGGGCGGAGGCGATTGAAGAGAGCGAAGGAGAAAGAAGGAGAGGACTTGAGAGGATGAGAAGCGAGAGAGACCGAAGAAAGGGAGCGGGAGAGAAGGGCGGTTAGGGTTTTGGCAGTAGCGAGCTTAGAGAGGTGGGTCGCCATCTTTGTAAAACCCTAAATGAGAGAGTTTTGAGCTGGAGAGAAACAAAGTGCGGTGAGGGACTGAGGGTTTATGCCTTTGTGGGTAGGGTTTTATAATGAGAGGAAGGTCATTTTACCTGCTGATATTATTATCCAACCATTATCAGCCGTTCATCAATAATAGGATCAGCATTTCCCATTCAATGGGGCAAAATTGTATTTAAATTTAATATAATGGTTTATTTTATTTTTCATCCCTTATAAAGATTAAAGATGATATCCTTATAAAGACTTATTCAAAGAGAGCTACAAAAAGAAAAAAAACAAAAAAATAACGGAAAAAGAAAAAGAGAGAGAAATCATGAAGATCAAGGGTAACAATTGTCTTTATATGCTTCTTTTGTATTTGTCTTTGTAAAATTAGTGCTTCTCAAAGTTATAATAAGCTCGTTCCTTAAGGTATTTAAAAATAAATTAAAATAACAAAAACCCCTTATAATATTATACTTAACATTTTCTAAAGGAAATGGATAAGTTTATTAAAAGGAGAAAATGAAATGAACCTTTTAATGAACAAACTTTTAATTAAAATCAATATAACTCTTAACGTAATTAAATATTGGGTTAATAATAATAATTCTTCTAAAATATAATTGAATAACAAAAATCTCTTTATAGTTATAGAAATGATAGAAACAATTAAATAAATTTTCGTAATTCATTCAATTATAAAATCTAACGATGCATTAAACGGCTCACTAACCGTAAGAGAATTTTTGTTATTTTTGAAATATCAGGAAAACATTTATTATTTGATTAAATCTCAAGGGTTGGGAAAAAACCCTTAAATATTTTTTCTTCTATAAAATTAGGGTGACAATAATATTATTAGTTACAAATCACTGATTAAAATAGACAAACATATGTAGAAAAAATATATCCGATTAAATACTAATTAAAAAAATCAACTATAATCAATCAAGTGTGCTGATTTAATTACAAAGTGGAGATTCTAATTTTGTACAAGTAATATTATTATTGAAAACAAAGTAATTTTTAGTTTATTGAGTTTTATGAATAATTATTTTGTTTTTTCTATTATAAATTTCATTAAAAAATAAATAAATTTAGTATATTATTGTTGTTATTATATTTTAGAACTGGGTTGTGTTATATATTATTGAAATAATTTTATCTATAAATTGAGTATACTATAGAATAATGTTTTTCTCTTCTAAAAAAGTAAAGTATGAAACTGAAATACAAATAGGGATATATTATATTATGTTAATAAATGTAACAACGTACCAGAACCGATATAAATTATCATATAATAGAATTTAGAAATTCAGTTGAGTGTTGTTCCAAAAGTAGTTGAACTAATATAGGGTGGAGTACCATTTTTATGAAACAAAGTAATAATAATCGGATTAATACTCAATTTATATACTTTTCACTCAGGAAAATTAAGGTTTCTAATACTGGAATTGCTTGTTTTATTAAGATATGTTTTCTTTTAATTTTAAGTATAATTTGTCATCAATCTTGAAATCCAAGTTTGACAGCTAAAGATGTTTTCAATTTCAAGTAATACACCACCTAAAGATATAAATAAGCTTGTTATTCTATAAATAAAAAATTTGATGGGATTAATAAGGACATAACAGAGTTATCATTCGTGAATTTGAGCTTGTTGGTGATTTAATATTTAATATTTCATTTTTTTTTTTTAATAATCCAAAAACCCTGTCAAACTTACTTTGCAAGTTTAAAAAATTGAGTAAACGACGTATTCCCACCCGAGGTTTAGTAAAATCCTAAGTTGATACTCCTGGTTGTATTTGTTTTAGATTCACACCCCTAAATTAACACTGTTAGTGACTGTTAAAAATTGTCGAAAATGGTGAGTAGGGTCGACAAATGAAGGTATGAGTTTTATAGAGAAGGTTGTAGAGATTCTAACGGTGGTCTTGGAAGTGATTTTGGACTTCGAAATCGGTCGAAAAAAGCCAAAAAAATTAGCTTGGACTTTGCTAACGTGAGCCATTTTTTGCTAACATAAGCCCATTTTTGCCAAAGAAAACGTCGGCGCACTTTAGCGTGCTAACGTTTGTTGTGTTACAGTGAAAAGTTAAGAATCTGTTAAAATAAAAAAAACAACGTTACTTTGAAGGTGGAAATCTTAAATAAATACAACCAAGAGTATCAACTTAAGATATGGCTAACCTGAATCTCTGTTTTAAAAATCGACCGCTTGGACCGAGACCTGGCAGCTTGTCCGGTTCGGTTCAGGTCTTAAGGAGGTTTTTGAAATATTTCAAAATTATAAGGGTTAATTGTAATTTTATAGGGGTGTTTTGGAGATATGTCAAAAGTTTAGGGATTAATTGGTAATTTTTTGGGGTATTTTTGAAATAAATAAAAATTTTAGGGAAATTTTTGTAATATATTAAAATTTGAGAGATTAATAATAATTTTTTTTAAAATAAAATTGTCGTTGACATCATCGGTCCAACCAGCCGGATGGACCAATTGACCAGTGACCCGAGTAGCAAAACAGGTTACCCTCCCATCCGGGTTTTAAAACAATGACCTGAATACGCAGTTTGCTTATAAAAAAATTTATCCTTAAAAAATAAATCACAGGCCTGGTTATCAAACTAACCCGAGTACAGGAGACTTTTGAACACATGTAGTACAAGAATAGAATGGCATAAAATAAATTTAGAAGTGTTCAACCAAACTGTTGAGCTGTCAGTTAAGGTGGGGAAGCCACCAACACCCAACTCTAGGCAGTCAATATGCAGCTCAACTGATATAAACTTTCCCATAATAAGCAACTCTTTTTCTTGTAATAATCTATAACTCATCAAATCCTACCAAAAATCCCTTTAATTTCCTTGACAAGTTCCTCACAAATTTGCCAAACCAAGTCAAGTTTTTTGCCTAAAATTTAATTATAAGCCTATGCATGAATTTAACCATTGCCTTTTCATGCCTTAACTATAACTTGTGTGCTAATTAACACTTGGTTTGGTGTGTTAGCTCATCTTCTACTTCTCATTCAAAAGTGTCTTACACATCCCATTTACCTGCACTTTCTCTACACATTTTCCCTTCATGGAATTGCCAGTGAAGGCATCGGTTTCCGATGGCCGGAAAGCCTTTTCCCGGTTGGAAACCAAGAATCTGTCTTACAAATTGTGCAGCAACTTTGATGAGTACTTGAGTTGGGTTACTTGTTGTAGTGGGGTTTCAAAGGGAGGTTCTAATAAGTGTATTCTGAAAGATGTGAGTTGTGAAGCTAGGCCTGGAGAGATTACTGCCATTGCTGGTCCTAGTGGGGCTGGAAAAACTACATTGTTAGAGATTCTTGCTGGAAAGATTTCATTGCAGAAAGTGTCAGGTCAAGTGCTTGTTAATGACAGGCCTATGGTTGCTAGTTGTTTTCGGAAAATTTCTGGGTATGTCACCCAAGATGATGCTCTATTTCCATTACTTACAGTTGAAGAAACACTGATGTTTAGTGCACTTCTGAGGCTACCAGTAGGGCGCAAAGAGGCTGCCGCAAGAGTGAGAGTTTTGTTGAAGGAGCTTGGACTAGGTCATATTGCAAGTTCAAGAATTGGTGAGGGATCAAGTTTTGGCATTTCAGGTGGCGAAAGGCGAAGAGTTTCGATTGGCGTTGATTTAGTTCATGACCCTGCTGTTGTTCTGATTGATGAACCAACTTCAGGGTTGGATTCAGCGTCAGCTCTCCATACAGTGACCCTGCTTAAATCAATGGTGGTTAATCAAGGTAAGACGATTGTTTTAACCGTCCACCAGCCTGGTTTTCGAATCCTGCAGCTGTTTGATCGGCTTGTTTTGCTTTCAAATGGATTTGTTGTTCATAATGGGACATTGAATCTTCTTGAAGAGAGGCTAAAGATTGCTGGTCACTACATTCCTCGCCATGTCAATGTGCTAGAATTTGCCATTGATGTCATTGAAAGCTTGGTTCCCCGAATTCCAGCAACTCAAACCAACCACCACTGTCATCTACAGATTAGAAAGGATAAAGAAGATAATCTTGAAAGTAAGCTTTTCTCATACCATAACTCTCGATTTGAGGAGATTTTAGTACTAGGGCAAAGATTTTGCTATAACATATTCCGGACCAGGCAACTTTTTGCCACAAGAGTAATACAAGCCTTGGTAGCTGGTTTAGTCCTCGGAACCATATACATGAATGTTGGCAATGATATAGGAAGGATTGCGCTACAAACCCGAATTGGATTCTTCGCTTTCAGCCTCACATTCATGTTATCTTCCTCAACAGAAGGTCTGCCGATTTTCTTGCAAGAGCGAAGAATTCTAACGAGGGAAACTTCCAGAGGAGCTTACCGAGTTTCTTCCTATGTTTTAGCAAACACTCTCATCTTCATTCCTTTTCTTCTGATGGTTGGTCTTCTCTTCACCACTCCAGTTTACTGGCTGGTTGGCTTGAGAAGGGACATTGATGGGTATCTTTACTTCTCTCTGGTGGTCTGGATGGTTCTTCTCATGGCCAATTCATTTGTCGCATGTTTCAGTGCTCTTGTGCCCAACTTCATCATGGGAACATCAGTAATTGCAGGCCTTATGGGATCTTTCTTTCTGTTTTCTGGGTATTTTATATCGAAGAACAGCATACCTAACTACTGGATTTTCATGCATTACTTGAGCATGTTTAAATACCCATATGAATGTTTTATGATAAATGAATATGGAGGAGAGCAAGGCAAAACAAAGTGCTTAGAGGTTAAAAATGGAGAATGCAGTTTGCATGGAAGTGAGTTCTTACAGCAACAAGATCTGACAGAGTCAAAGAAATGGATCAATTTAGCTGTGATGTTGAGTTTCATCATCGGCTACAGAGTTCTTTGTTTCTTTATATTGTGGTTCAGATGTTACAGAACCAGAAATTAGATAAAAAGTTTTACAAAAGGATAGACATATACATATGCTTTCTCCTTCTCTTTCTTTTCTTTTTCTTTTTCTTTTTTTCCTTATTCTTTTACTCATTTATCAGTATGATAAGCAATCCATTGTATGATCTTTATATACATTCATTGATAAAGGAATTCTTGCCTATACTAATCCAGGATTGGCTTTGTTGCTCCATATACTGTACATGTCCAATATGATAAAAAAGGAAAATATTCAAGAAACAAACTTGCACAACAGAACTCTACATCGACATACAAATTACAAAGCATAAACTAGGCTGAAAATAAACTTAATGAATACGGACTTGCATTTGTTCCTTTATTTAATTACTGAGAAGTACAAGTTGAGTGGCCAAAGAGTGTAGAATAGGTCCTCTTTTCCAGAAACACAAAAACAATATCGAAAAGAAAGGAAAACAAAGAGCTACGTGGAAAAAGAATCAACTAGATCAAAAACCTACTAGATTACAGAACATGTACAGAAATGATTTGCCGAAAGACTAAGAATCACTTTGTTAGCACCTCATATGCACTTCAAATGCCCTCCAAAGCCAAACTCTATTGATCTTCAGTAAAGAAAGAAAAATGAAATAATAAGTTAAAAAATATTTTATCAACTTAATTGCTTCGGTCATATATAGAGTTGAAGGTCATGGTAGCATAAGAGGTATCCATATTTCCTGAAGATGAAGAAGAACCATCCAGCCTGCCAGAGTCTGCAGATTGTGTCAAAGCTTTATTCTTCCCATCGGACTCATCTTTCTGGCCCTTGCCAACTTTGAGTCCGAGTAACTCAGAAAGAAGGCCAGGTTTTGATATTTTTTGTTCGCTTACATCTATTTCACCTGTTAGCATCTGAACCACGGTAGACATGGACGGTCGGAGCTTAGGCATATCTTGGGTGCAGAGGAGAGCAATCTTCAGATATCTGTCAGCCTCTTCAACATTGTAATCCTCGTTTAATAATGCATCCACCAATTGCAATAGCTCTCCTTTCTCATACAGTTCCCATGCCTGCAGATTGCATATCTCCTTAATAAGAACCAAATTAAACATGTGACTCTTAATGGCCTACTCAACTCTGTTAAACAATCGAAGAGATTTCTTTAAAAGGGATTACCCACTTTTGGGATTTGGATTATAAAAAATTACCAATGGCCAAAAGTAAAGAATTAAGGCAAGTTGGGGGTCAGGTTTGAAACGAATGATGTTCTAAACATTATGATGAGTGGATTCACAACAAAACTTTCAGGAAGGTTTACTATCATTTTAGGGAAATTTAGAATAAAGAATGACAGGGATGGACATTAAGATTAGCATACTGCTAAAATTAGCGCCTGCTCAATTGTGAATACTCTACAAACAGAGTAAAAGTCTCAAACAAAGCTCAAAGCAAACAATGTTTCACTCTCCACTATATAATATTCCAATGACCGTAAAACATATGAGGTGATGTTAGAACCGCACTGGCCTCACTCTAGTTACAAAAATTACATAATACCACCTAGCGAAATGATTTTTAGGCACAAATCTATTAAAGCTAGAAAAATTCTATCAAGCCTATCAAAACATATAATGGCTGCACTAGTATATAAGGCAAAAAAAAAACAATCAATTATGAGATCCACAACTACAACACCCAGAACATCTTGACCCATTCTTAGGCAAATCTTGGTGCTTTTAATTTTGTACCAACTTTAATGCCATTCAGACATAACGTCACGCTTTAGAGTGTGCTTGCGCCGAGAAATCCTTGTTTAAGTGTGACAGAAGGTATAATATTTCATTAAGGTGGAAAGCATAAGATCATATAACATATGAAGAGAAAACACTGAAGACTCAGAAAGAGCAGAAGATTGCATTTAACTGAAATGTAGGCAGGTTATGGAAGGATCCTGCATTTTCTGTGGACACCCAATTTCAATCCTTTATCTCTTTTTAAAAGCTATCACAACCAGACATGAATCTAATCAAAGAATGACAATCTTAAAAGTTAAAAATGTGTTAATGCTTACCTTTTCAAGCAGATATTGTTCTTCATAAGGTAACCGCTTGTTTGTGTTGCACCTCCCACTAACAATTTCTAGTAGCAGAACGCCAAAACTATATATATCTGCTTTCCTTGTCAGCTGACCTCGTATAGCATACTCAGGTGCAAGGTAACCTCTACATAGACCAAATAAAGACATCAAAACAAATTCATGAGTTCGAATAAAAAAAAAAATTTATCCTTAAAAAATAAATCACAGGCCTGGTTATCAAACTAACCCGAGTACAGGAGACTTTTGAACACATGTAGTACAAGAATAGAATGGCAAAAAATAAATTTAGAAGTGTTCAACCAAACTGTTGAGCTGTCAGTTAAGGTGGGGAAGCCACCAACACCCAACTCTAGGCAGTCAATATGCAGCTCAACTGATATAAACTTTCCCATAATAAGCAACTCTTTTTCTTGTAATAATCTATAACTCATCAAATCCTACCAAAAATCCCTTTAATTTCCTTGACAAGTTCCTCACAAATTTGCCAAACCAAGTCAAGTTTTTTGCCTAAAATTTAATTATAAGCCTATGCATGAATTTAACCATTGCCTTTTCATGCCTTAACTATAACTTGTGTGCTAATTAACACTTGGTTTGGTGTGTTAGCTCATCTTCTACTTCTCATTCAAAAGTGTCTTACACATCCCATTTACCTGCACTTTCTCTACACATTTTCCCTTCATGGAATTGCCAGTGAAGGCATCGGTTTCCGATGGCCGGAAAGCCTTTTCCCGGTTGGAAACCAAGAATCTGTCTTACAAATTGTGCAGCAACTTTGATGAGTACTTGAGTTGGGTTACTTGTTGTAGTGGGGTTTCAAAGGGAGGTTCTAATAAGTGTATTCTGAAAGATGTGAGTTGTGAAGCTAGGCCTGGAGAGATTACTGCCATTGCTGGTCCTAGTGGGGCTGGAAAAACTACATTGTTAGAGATTCTTGCTGGAAAGATTTCATTGCAGAAAGTGTCAGGTCAAGTGCTTGTTAATGACAGGCCTATGGTTGCTAGTTGTTTTCGGAAAATTTCTGGGTATGTCACCCAAGATGATGCTCTATTTCCATTACTTACAGTTGAAGAAACACTGATGTTTAGTGCACTTCTGAGGCTACCAGTAGGGCGCAAAGAGGCTGCCGCAAGAGTGAGAGTTTTGTTGAAGGAGCTTGGACTAGGTCATATTGCAAGTTCAAGAATTGGTGAGGGATCAAGTTTTGGCATTTCAGGTGGCGAAAGGCGAAGAGTTTCGATTGGCGTTGATTTAGTTCATGACCCTGCTGTTGTTCTGATTGATGAACCAACTTCAGGGTTGGATTCAGCGTCAGCTCTCCATACAGTGACCCTGCTTAAATCAATGGTGGTTAATCAAGGTAAGACGATTGTTTTAACCGTCCACCAGCCTGGTTTTCGAATCCTGCAGCTGTTTGATCGGCTTGTTTTGCTTTCAAATGGATTTGTTGTTCATAATGGGACATTGAATCTTCTTGAAGAGAGGCTAAAGATTGCTGGTCACTACATTCCTCGCCATGTCAATGTGCTAGAATTTGCCATTGATGTCATTGAAAGCTTGGTTCCCCGAATTCCAGCAACTCAAACCAACCACCACTGTCATCTACAGATTAGAAAGGATAAAGAAGATAATCTTGAAAGTAAGCTTTTCTCATACCATAACTCTCGATTTGAGGAGATTTTAGTACTAGGGCAAAGATTTTGCTATAACATATTCCGGACCAGGCAACTTTTTGCCACAAGAGTAATACAAGCCTTGGTAGCTGGTTTAGTCCTCGGAACCATATACATGAATGTTGGCAATGATATAGGAAGGATTGCGCTACAAACCCGAATTGGATTCTTCGCTTTCAGCCTCACATTCATGTTATCTTCCTCAACAGAAGGTCTGCCGATTTTCTTGCAAGAGCGAAGAATTCTAACGAGGGAAACTTCCAGAGGAGCTTACCGAGTTTCTTCCTATGTTTTAGCAAACACTCTCATCTTCATTCCTTTTCTTCTGATGGTTGGTCTTCTCTTCACCACTCCAGTTTACTGGCTGGTTGGCTTGAGAAGGGACATTGATGGGTATCTTTACTTCTCTCTGGTGGTCTGGATGGTTCTTCTCATGGCCAATTCATTTGTCGCATGTTTCAGTGCTCTTGTGCCCAACTTCATCATGGGAACATCAGTAATTGCAGGCCTTATGGGATCTTTCTTTCTGTTTTCTGGGTATTTTATATCGAAGAACAGCATACCTAACTACTGGATTTTCATGCATTACTTGAGCATGTTTAAATACCCATATGAATGTTTTATGATAAATGAATATGGAGGAGAGCAAGGCAAAACAAAGTGCTTAGAGGTTAAAAATGGAGAATGCAGTTTGCATGGAAGTGAGTTCTTACAGCAACAAGATCTGACAGAGTCAAAGAAATGGATCAATTTAGCTGTGATGTTGAGTTTCATCATCGGCTACAGAGTTCTTTGTTTCTTTATATTGTGGTTCAGATGTTACAGAACCAGAAATTAGATAAAAAGTTTTACAAAAGGATAGACATATACATATGCTTTCTCCTTCTCTTTCTTTTCTTTTTCTTTTTCTTTTTTTCCTTATTCTTTTACTCATTTATCAGTATGATAAGCAATCCATTGTATGATCTTTATATACATTCATTGATAAAGGAATTCTTGCCTATACTAATCCAGGATTGGCTTTGTTGCTCCATATACTGTACATGTCCAATATGATAAAAAAGGAAAATATTCAAGAAACAAACTTGCACAACAGAACTCTACATCGACATACAAATTACAAAGCATAAACTAGGCTGAAAATAAACTTAATGAATACGGACTTGCATTTGTTCCTTTATTTAATTACTGAGAAGTACAAGTTGAGTGGCCAAAGAGTGTAGAATAGGTCCTCTTTTCCAGAAACACAAAAACAATATCGAAAAGAAAGGAAAACAAAGAGCTACGTGGAAAAAGAATCAACTAGATCAAAAACCTACTAGATTACAGAACATGTACAGAAATGATTTGCCGAAAGACTAAGAATCACTTTGTTAGCACCTCATATGCACTTCAAATGCCCTCCAAAGCCAAACTCTATTGATCTTCAGTAAAGAAAGAAAAATGAAATAATAAGTTAAAAAATATTTTATCAACTTAATTGCTTCGGTCATATATAGAGTTGAAGGTCATGGTAGCATAAGAGGTATCCATATTTCCTGAAGATGAAGAAGAACCATCCAGCCTGCCAGAGTCTGCAGATTGTGTCAAAGCTTTATTCTTCCCATCGGACTCATCTTTCTGGCCCTTGCCAACTTTGAGTCCGAGTAACTCAGAAAGAAGGCCAGGTTTTGATATTTTTTGTTCGCTTACATCTATTTCACCTGTTAGCATCTGAACCACGGTAGACATGGACGGTCGGAGCTTAGGCATATCTTGGGTGCAGAGGAGAGCAATCTTCAGATATCTGTCAGCCTCTTCAACATTGTAATCCTCGTTTAATAATGCATCCACCAATTGCAATAGCTCTCCTTTCTCATACAGTTCCCATGCCTGCAGATTGCATATCTCCTTAATAAGAACCAAATTAAACATGTGACTCTTAATGGCCTACTCAACTCTGTTAAACAATCGAAGAGATTTCTTTAAAAGGGATTACCCACTTTTGGGATTTGGATTATAAAAAATTACCAATGGCCAAAAGTAAAGAATTAAGGCAAGTTGGGGGTCAGGTTTGAAACGAATGATGTTCTAAACATTATGATGAGTGGATTCACAACAAAACTTTCAGGAAGGTTTACTATCATTTTAGGGAAATTTAGAATAAAGAATGACAGGGATGGACATTAAGATTAGCATACTGCTAAAATTAGCGCCTGCTCAATTGTGAATACTCTACAAACAGAGTAAAAGTCTCAAACAAAGCTCAAAGCAAACAATGTTTCACTCTCCACTATATAATATTCCAATGACCGTAAAACATATGAGGTGATGTTAGAACCGCACTGGCCTCACTCTAGTTACAAAAATTACATAATACCACCTAGCGAAATGATTTTTAGGCACAAATCTATTAAAGCTAGAAAAATTCTATCAAGCCTATCAAAACATATAATGGCTGCACTAGTATATAAGGCAAAAAAAAAACAATCAATTATGAGATCCACAACTACAACACCCAGAACATCTTGACCCATTCTTAGGCAAATCTTGGTGCTTTTAATTTTGTACCAACTTTAATGCCATTCAGACATAACGTCACGCTTTAGAGTGTGCTTGCGCCGAGAAATCCTTGTTTAAGTGTGACAGAAGGTATAATATTTCATTAAGGTGGAAAGCATAAGATCATATAACATATGAAGAGAAAACACTGAAGACTCAGAAAGAGCAGAAGATTGCATTTAACTGAAATGTAGGCAGGTTATGGAAGGATCCTGCATTTTCTGTGGACGCCCAATTTCAATCCTTTATCTCTTTTTAAAAGCTATCGCAGCCAGACATGAATCTAATCAAAGAGTGACAATCTTAAAAGTTAAAAATGTGTTAATGCTTACCTTTTCAAGCAGATATTGTTCTTCATAAGGTAACCGCTTGTTTGTGTTGCACCTCCCACTAACAATTTCTAGTAGCAGAACGCCAAAACTATATATATCTGCTTTCCTTGTCAGCTGACCTCGTATAGCATACTCAGGTGCAAGGTAACCTCTACATAGACCAAATAAAGACATCAAAACAAATTCATGAGTTCGAATAAAAATTATAAATTATAAATTTTTTAAATTAATAATAAATAATTGAGCAAAAATAAATCCAAGACAAGCCACTTGACCACCCCTAAAGCACTTGTTTATACTAATCAAATAAGGGAAAAAAAATTAAAAAAAAAAAAAAGCATACCATGCCCCACAAATTTCGTTGAAATCAAATTTCAGCACGGTTTCACATCATAGAGGTAAAAATTACCCCCACAATCTTTAAATCCCTTTGACCATTAAATAATCAACTGAAGAGGCTGTAATAAGAAATTCAGAAACTTACTCTGTCCCAGCAACACGTGTACTAATGTGAGTCAAGTTGGATGGGAAAAACTTTGCAAGACCGAAATCTGAAATTTTGGGCATGAGGTCTTTATCCAGGAGTATATTGCTTGCTTTAATATCTCTATGCACAATATGTGGTTGAACCTCCTCATGCAGGAAAGCAAGTCCTTGAGCAACACCGATGCAAATACTGCGACGTGTATGCCAACTGAATTGGATACTGCTGTGCCCTCTACCTAAAGAGGAATAATAACATATCACTCAGACAGTTAAGAAAATCAGACATAAACTAGGTTAAGAAAATCAAACATAAAACTACATCAGCTTACCAAGAAGAGTTTGTGCAAGACTGTTATTCTCAAGATAGCCATAGACCAAAATTCGATGGTTTGCTTCCACACAACAACCATGCAATTTAACCAAGTTATCATGCTTTATCTTTGCAATTGCTTCTATCTCTCTCAAGAACTCTCGTTCCCCTTGCCTTGATTCAGCTGATAGTACCTTTATAGCAGCTAGAGTGCCATCTTTGAGCCTTCCCTGTTGATTAACAAGAATTTTAAGGGCCAGTTGATGGAATAATAAACAAATTTGTTTACCAACTAGCAATACATCTACTTCTTGAAAAAAATTGGGCCATATCTGCAATCACCTTGTAGACAGAACCGAAGCCTCCCTGTCCTATTTTATTGGCCACACTGAAATTTTCTGTTGCCCTTCGCAACTCTCCATAAGTATAAATGTTTGTATCATGGATGCTAGAAAAATCTGCACCCAATTTAATTGCATTAGAAGCTTTTAAATACAAAAAAAGCTACAAAAAGCAAAAATTTTCCAAGATCAAGACTTGCACGCGTGATTGTGTATGAACAATTATATCCAAAGAATGTAAAAGGAGATAGAGATAGTATTGAATTATTAGTCCACTAATGAGGTGCATGGTAGCTAATCTAACTGCTGAAGTTTCATTAAGCACTCAAGAAACCGGTGTGGAAATAAATCAGTAATCCACAAACCCAACCTCATTTAGGGAGGATCTTAGTTTGTGCTTTTCGGTTACATTAGGGAGATTGAAGATTGAAACTTCAGAACTATGTACCTTCTTTACCGTCTACTGCATCTTTACCAAATGGAACTCTCTTCTTTCTGAAAAATGAAGGAAAACAAGTCATCTTGAGCTGCTCTATGTGAACTGATTCTTGAAGTCAGATCAATCTTCTGCCCTGTATAAACCATGAATCACTGACTTTTGTTTATGTAACCAAAAAATATATATATTCATGCTTTACCAGAATCTGATTAATGACTATAGAAATCCCTAGAAAGGAAAAATGAACAAGTTAAATATGCCACCAAAGAACAATGGCAGTCTAACAATCATCAGCATTACCAATCAATCATTGCTACTTTCGGAATGCATATCTATCTAGGCCAATAAAAACTCATTAATTTGATAAATAGGAAACTTATCCCAAAATTCAACCTTCTTGTTTCATTGACTTCAAAATCTTATTGAATGGAAAAAAAAAAAAAGTTACCTAAACAAAACATATATATTGAACCAAAAAGAAAGTTTTTGATGGAACCTCTCACGAATATTAAAAGTTCAGTGGAACCAGTATTGGCACAAAAAATGTAGAGCAGGATTTAGCAGTATCTAAGCACCATCTGAAGATTCCCCTCTCTTTCCAATTGAATTTGGAAGCTATTAAAACTCAAATCTTCATGCTACATATAATTATTTTCAGTGATTTGATTAAACTGAACCATAATCCTACCACATAAACTTGGATTAATTTGTGAAGTAAGGAAGTCGAAGACTCAATGCAGAGAATATTTTAAGTTCAATTCTTTTAGGTTCTACATATACAGGTGATGGGAAAAGTTCTTAAATTCTTTAGAACCCTGCAAAACACAATCTACGAGGCTTCAAACATAACAATACACATTTACCCACAATCGATCTTGAAAATGACCATTAGCTCAAAGTCAAAAACCAAAACAAAAACAAACAAAACCAAGATTATGCTCTTAAACAACATAAACCCATAAAAATAAAAGCTAAGCTAAAGACCAAGCCATCCAATTTTAATTCCACAGTTCAACACAAAAACCAAAAGCAGTCGTCTTTCTTCATCAGTGTGCTCACTGCTCAGAACACGTAAAATAAATCTTTGGCTGCCCAGAATGATGAAACACCTCTTTTCAAAAAAAGAAAAAAGAAAAAAAAGTTCAACTCAAGCAGATGCAAACGCTTGAGAAATAAACAGACAGATGAACAGGGAATTCAGCTTTTTTCTTGCTTCCTGGCAACCAATCAAACACATAAAAAAGATTAAAAGAAAAGCAAAACAAAAAAGTGTAGAAGTTACAGAAACTCACCCACCTGAGAGGATGATGAAAAAAAATGTTGGAGTGCGCGTGAGAAAAAGATGATGATGTGGATGTAGTTGCAGCCAGTAGTCGTTTAAGAAGAACAAGAACAAGTAAAGAAGTTGAAAGGTCAAAACTGATGAGCTTCATTTTCATTCCATTCATTGCTTGGATTTTGCTTATTATATTATTTTATATTAGAGTTTTTTTTGTTTTTTCTTGATGAATAATTCTCTAATCAAAATATTCTTATATTAATTTGTCTTAACCATCAACCATGAATATAGATATATAAATCTGAGTTATAAAATATCATATCAGTCCAATGTGATAAAGCTAAAGTAATTAAGCATGGTTTTAATAAAATTAATATCAGCATCCGGATTAGAAAATGAATCATGAGATAATAAAATAATATTTTATTATTTATATATTAAAAGGAACTTTATAAATTTAAAAAAAAACTTACTTTTCAATGATATATTAGGAAACTTGGCAGGTGGGGATGATGATTTTCTTTAAAAAAGTTGACTTTGACTATTTAAAACAAGAGTTTACGACTTTTTCCCACCCAAAAAATAGCTTATTGACTTTCCCAGCCCTATAATTTTAAAATATTATTTTACTACCTGCCTTTAGTAATTTTCGTTATGAGGAAGGGCATGATGGTCAAAATTTAGTCATAAGTGAGGGTAGGATGGTCTTTCGACTTCTTCAATCGCCCCTTAAACATCGGCTGTCTGGCCGCCTTCTCTACCAAAAATCATCCCTCACCCCGCCATTTGACTCACCGTTGAGGGCATCACCCCCACTAGCAACAATCATCATAAAATCGACATAAACGTTGTTGTTGAGATTAGGGTTATTGCAAGTGGGAAAAAATGGGTTTTTGGTTGGGCAATAAAACCGAACTAGTGGTGTGCATAGTAAAGTAAGAAGGTTGAAAGTGATAAGGGAACGGCCGGCAACTAGAAAAAACACGCCAACAACAACCCAAACACTTCAAAAAGCAACACAAGCAAATCAACACAAAAAATCTTGCTGTTTTTAGATGGTTGGGGGTCGCAAAAATGCAATTGTCTCATGGCAGCAATGGCAGGTCATTGGTGACAAACGACGAGATGGGAGGGAAGTGGAGGTAGGGGTTTTGAAGAGGTAAGGATGAGGGTTGGAATGGTGGTGACAATGGTGATTTCTTGTGTCAATAACGGCCAGAATCTGACCATGAAACAGTGAGATTGCGAACACATCCAAATAAGCAGCGGCTAGCAAACGGTGAGTGATCAGGTGCCAAAAGGTTGGGGGTTTTGTTAAGGGCTTGATGGTGAGTCTAGGGGTAGTGTTAATTTTGATTTTGGTTGTTGGAAATCGCCAGAATCCGACAAGGGAAATCGCGCGAACCCTAATGGTGATTCGCGTAAAATCGGGTGGAATCAAGTGGGAAGAGAGGGAAGATGGGGAAAGTGGTGTCAATTTTACGCTAATTTCTGATGTCGAAATTTGGTTGAGGTGCATTGTGGTCACTGGCAATTGGGGGTTAATCTTTAGTGGGGGCATTTTCGTCCTCACAATGTATTTAATAGAAATTGTTAAAGGAATATAATTTTTGGGTGGTAAAATATTTTAAAAGTGTGGATGGGAAAGTGTCAATGAGCTATTTTTTAGGTGGGAAAAAGTCGTTAACTCTTAAAAAAACAAAAAAAAAGAGTTTAATACCTTTTTTGGAAATTTTCAATATATATATCTTATCGTCAATTTAGTTAAGGTTATGACTTTTAATTTAAGGAATCAAAGGTGATATGTATCGTTCAAATGACAAAAACTCTTACAAAACGATAAAAATTAAATAATTAAGAGAAAGATTATATTCTGGATATTTGACATTTAATTTAACAAATCAAAGATAATATGTATTAGTTGAATCACAAAAACTCTTATAAAATAATGTAAGTAAAAATATCATTTTAAATCTTAAGGGATTACCTTGACGGTTAATGAACCCCTCAAAGATTAGTTGAGGTGTCCGTAAACTGGCTTGAGTATTTCAATTACCAAAAAAAAATAATAATAATAAAGATATCATTTTAAAGAACACGTGAGGAAAATTGTGCCGGAGAAATTTGAGAAAAACCAATTAGTATTTTAATAGGGAAAAAATTGCAACAAAGCCTTTTAAAAAGAAGTTTTAAATATGTGAAGGGATAAGATTTAACAAAAATTCTAACTCATGTTTGGAAAAAATAGTTATTAGTCAATTTAAGTGCATAAAGCGATAACTATAAATTGAAAGGTCAAACCCAGCAGCCTCTCTCATTTGACCGGTTGGCGCATTTCTGGAACTGGAATTATGATTTATGAATTTTCTTGCTTCCTTCGAGCTAACAAGTTACATCGCTTGGCGTTGTCAAGTTAAGCTGTACCCCCTTAGAATTTCTTGAATAAATTTTTTTGTTTTTTTGTTTTAAATGGTGGGCCTTGAGAGAGGCCCATTATATAGCCAACTGTCTGTTGGAAGTGCCGACTTGGTTGAATACTTGAATTTCAAATAAATGTATTTTTAATGTGCAAGTAGGGGCAGATTTATACTTAAGGATAATTATAAAATATAGTTATCACATTTTTGTTTTATTAAATGAGATTGATATAATTCTCAAGTTTTACCAGAATGATCCACAATGAACGCTGCCATTAATTATTTAAGGTACTAAGATGATAGTTTTATGAATAAAGTCAAGCGCATCCCAAGCCTAATTAAACTTTAATCACATAAATTAAGAAGGTGTTTATCTGAACTTATAAATTCGTCTAATCAGTTTAAAGCATTTTTTATATAAATAAAGAATATTTTTATTAATTTCTAAATATACAAAATAATTTTTTTTTATTCAAATCTAATGAAATCTTTAAATTTTAATCCTTCATTTTGCATTTTTCCATAAAGCATTTATGATTTTAATTTTTTTTTTTTCCCTCCTTTTCTTTTTCTTAAATTTCCCTCTTTACATTTCATTATTTTCCCTCCATTTTTCTTTATAAGTTAAATCATATTTTCAAGAAAGAGACTTAATAGGAGAGAGAATTAATAAATAAAATTTATAAAAATTTATAATTTTATTAAAATTAGGATAGAGAATAAAATTTAACTCTCTAGATGTGGAGAGTCAAACTCACTATTTAATTTATATTTAAAGAATAAAGAGTTTGTTGGACTCTTTTATAGATAAGCTCTTTATAATAAAGAGTTTAGGTCATATAAAGAATCGTTTGAAGATGCTCCTATAAACTCTAAAATCAAGCTGACTGTTTGTTTATAACTTTTTTTTTTAGCTTATAAGCAATAATAATAATAATAATAAGTTGGGGGAACCTACTTTTATTTATTTATTTATTTTTAAGCACTCTGCTTATAAGCCACTTTGACCAAGTATATTACAACATTACCTCTGTTTAATATTTTGATTGAAATTTTTATTTTTTTGAATATAATTATAATTCATTATATTTGTTCATTAGTTGATTTTGTATAAAGAATCTAAAAATTATTCATAGAAATTTTTAATAAAATATTTGTTTATTTAATTCTAAAATTAAATTATATTGTAATATGATCCAAAAATATTTTGATAATATTATAATAAAAAATTGAGTTAATATAATTTATTATTTGATAAAATAATGTAGTACTTTTTTTAGTTATTTTAATAATAAAATATACTTATAAACTACATTTTACCAAACGCGTCAACTACTTATCAATTACTTATAAGTATTTTAATCAAATACGTAACTGTTTACATTTCAAATGCTTATAAGCTCAAATTACCTTATAAGCACTAGCTAATTTTCATAAGCTCCGCCAAAAAAGCCCTAAGAGTTAACGACTTTTTCCCATCCAAATAATGGTTTAATGATACTTTCCCACCTACAAATTTTTAAAATACCATTTTACTACTCAAATTTATATTGCGAACAGAGAACAAACTCAGTCTATACTATTAAGGCTTTTGAAGAGGGGAGACCAATAAGTTTTTCAAAAATGCTATATACACCGAAAGATGGTATCGAACATTTGCACTGAAATACGTGACAACTGACTCGGATGTCTCCATGTAGGACGATAGAACACTTCCGTAAATGGACGGTCGTCCAACGGTTTCGGACGGCCGTCCATACTTCCTAGACAGCTGTTCATGGTGGAATGGACTAGGGTCCATACAAAGTATTTAAAAAAAAAAAAAAAAAAAAAAAACAATGGACTCCCATCCAAATCCTAGGGACAGCCGTCCCGATATTATGGACGGCCGTCCAAAAAGCACACTAGATGGACGACTGTCCATCTACTGTGGACGGTCGTCCATCTTACAAGGACGACTGTCCGCATGAGATGGACTGGCGTCCATTGTTTATGAAATTTTTTTAAAAAAATATAATGCACACAATATGGACGCCAATCCATCTAGTGTGGACGACCGTTCCTTGTATATGGACGCTAGTCCATCTAGTGTGGACAGTCATTCCTTGTAAATGGACGACCGTCTACATTACATGGATTGGCGTCCATACTTTGTTAAAAAAATCAATAGCTTGTCTAATATGCTTTACAAATAAGCACCAAAATTTTATGTGATATAATAAGGGGAAAAAAAAAACTTTCATTTTTATTTGTTTTTCTTCTTTTCTCCTTCATCTACGTTATTTGTTTTTCTTCTCTTCTCATTCGTTTGCATGTTGTGTTCTCCTTGCTTCGACGTCGGTTTCTTCCTCAACAATCAAACAGTAGCAGCAAGACCTCTTTTTATAGAGATAACCGAGAAACGAATATAAGGATATCAAACATTTTAAAGCCCCAAAATTTTTGTTAAGGTAAAGAATTTTTTACTTATTTTATATATTCATTTAGTTTCATATTCTATTTTGGATTGAATATATGTTACAATACAAAATAATTGATAGAAAATATTTGTTGGCGACTATTTTGAACTTGATTCGTGAACGCGAAAATTGTTATTAGTTGTGCATGAAATTACGGAATATGGAAGAGCCTAGTTTGTCTCGTTTCAATGATGTTGAGGTAAATTGTGTTTAAAACTTTTTTAAATATGTTGTATTGTATTGTTTATTATGATGTGTTGTATTAGTACATTCTAATTTTGTTTATTATAAAACCA